GGGCTCGGTGCCTCTCTTGCAAAACGCGTAGAAAATCGCAGCGCAGCGCTGGTGCGCCCAGGGAAGGGGTGTTCCGGGGAGAGCGGCGCACCCACGGACTGGGGTGATTCGTTCAGCCACCGGTCTGTCTTCGAGGAGCCTTAAAACAACTTACTTCGCCGGCATTGCTCCCGCTGAACGCTAACCCTTTCCTAGACTGAGCACTCCTTCACAGAAGATCGAAGTAGGAACTACTGTCTGAGTGAGGGAAGAGCTGCTGTCTTCTCGTCATTCTGTTTCTTGGGAAAATGTGTTCATTTAACTTGAAGTAGCAAATATTTCTTCACAGGAGGTGGCTATTGTTGCTTGAATTGCTTTAAAATACATTTGATATTCTACATTTGGAAGTATAAAATGATGTATTTTTAAGTAATCTCCAGGAAATCATGCCGTTGAAAATATAAGATTTTTTTTTCTTTTTTTTTTTTTTTTGGGCTATATTTCTTGGTCACTTTACCATGCACTGCCACCAATGATCTATTACTTCCCCCTTCAGACACTGGCACTCACGGGTCTAGAAATTTTTGCCGTTGCCTTCTTTTCACCAATATTCTTGATAATTGGCCCTTTTTGGAGGTTGGCTAACAATATGTACATCCTAGCTCTTCTGAGACTGACTATGGTTGGTAAGTATGCACCACAGTGAGTTATAAACTTCATCTTGGTGTCAAGGCATAAGAATAAACATTCCAAATTGTCTCAAAATTCAGATGATTCTGGAAAGAGACAGGAATAAGAAGTTCTTGCTCACCCAAGCTCATGCTTTTCTTTTTCTATCAAGATTTTAGATATGGTCAGAGGAATATTATTTGCGTTCATTGTGTTGGTTTTTAGACTAGTACTGCATAATTAAAGACAAATCTCATTTCACCTTTATTTCTAGAAGCTTTTAAATTACTACAAGTCATGACAAAGAGGAAAAAAAATTTTCAGGATTGCACAGAGATCGGCAGAGGACCTGTCTGTTGTATGGCAGTTCTGTGTCTGCGACAACGGGTAGGGAAGAGATGTTACAGAACAGCTTGGGGCTATTATAAGATTAATCAGCTGTGAGTGGAATGTTCTTTTTCGTAGACTTACTTTCTGAAGCAGGGTTTTTTTTTGTTAAAGAATATGTGTGGTTTTTTCTTCCCTAAATGTGTCTGTATGCCTGTAGCATATTGGTGGGGTTATAGGCTCATTCTGAGTGTGAGATGGCTCTCATATTTTCAGTTGCGCAGGAAGAAAGTTGAATCTTATATTGAAGATAAAACTGCCTACATGCTCCTCCCTAAACCAAGACTTGCTGGGATTCCCTCTTTGGTCTTCAGCGCACTGGTGCCAGTCTTAGCTCTTGTTGATTTTCTGAAAGTTTGTTGGGAGAAGGTTTGGCAGCTACAGCTGCGTATAGAAGCAAGTTATTGCTAATATGTTTGCAACACCTGGATGAACTCAGAGGAGACAAAGCTCTCCATCCTGCTTACAGGGAAAATGCTGCTGCTAACTGGTGTCTTTCAGAGGCAGCAGTTTCTGGCTTCTCTTTCAGAAGCAGCAGTTCCTGGCTCCTTACCAATATAAGATGGTACATACTTTCCATGTATTTTTCTTTTTTATTCTCTTGCTGGTAGAAGACAGAACGGGATCATCTTACTCACTTTCTCTGTATGACTTTATTTTTAGAAAGAATTCTTGTTCTTTGTCTCTAAAAAGATACTAGAACTGAACGCAGCTCATTGGTTTCATCAGTTTAGACGAAGCATAGTTTTACCGTGTTCTTTTATTTTTCACTCTTTCTGTCATGGCCATTGTAATACTTTTTTGTTGTTTTTTAATCAGCTTTTCAGTGAGCAGAGTCTTCCACCTCAGCTTTCTGTAGCTGTGCTCAATGCATTGCTTTCTGCAAGATCTGCTAATTTAGAAACTAGTAATGAGTGTAAGCATTTCAAATTGCACCCTGCATTCCTTCAGATATCACAGTAACACAAAATTCATTTAAGATTAGTCCTTCAGATCATCTTGCTATTTTTACTAGTTCACTTTGCCAAAAGAGATGGAAATGACTCAAATGTTTGTTATTTTTGTTCTGCTAAGTAAAGAGCAGTGACAAGTCTATAACGGTGTGTAAAATCTAGTTGGTCTATGTCTGTCTGCTTCACCTGAATAGCAAGCTCCTGAAGATATTGACTGCAAACAAAAATCTAGCATCTTCAGTAGTAATCTGGGGAAAGGATGTGTTAATGGAGGCGGTCATAGAAGGGCTCCAGAGCATGGGGAGACTGAAGCTGTATGCATCCTTACTTTTGGGCTAACCTGAGCATTGCTGTACGCAGGTATGACCCCCCCCACACTTCTTTCTTGCCTGAACAGGAACTGTTCCCACAGTGACCACATTGCCCTGCTGTTTCCGTCTTGCAGATTGTCCTAATACTGCCTGCCCCTTGGCGAGTCTACACCGTATTCTCTCCCAGGTTTACTGTACTTTCTCTGATTCCCCTTACCTGTTGCTCTAAAGTGAGCATGAGAATTTGGAGAAGATGTAAGAGCATGTTCTTCACCTTCTTTGTCTCCAGCAAAGAGTTTAGCAACGAGTGTTAAATCTTACTCTTTTCTTGCCTCCCTACTGCAGCTTCTCAAACCACTTTAAGTTATCCAGATGCCCTGGCACAGGCAGTGCTGGGCTTTAGACCTTTCCGTATATATCTTTTTACTTGGTTCTCATCACTTCATTGTCTTGTAGATTATTTCTGTCCTATCATACTGTG